AAAAAAAAAACCAAAGTCTAGTTTTTGTTTTAATTTTGCATTAATTTTTAAAAATTTTTTCAAAGAAAGAAGTTGGAAAAAAACAGATGTTTTTTACAATAGTTATTTATTTATTTTGCTTTCTGCATGTTTTTTTTGATTAGTCAATTTTTTTTTGCTATTTACTTTGTTGTTTCCTTTTTCAGAAAAAAAAGGGTGCTTATTTATTTTTTCAAAGCTTTAAATGTTTTGGTATCGGATAATCTTTTGTTGACAATTTTCCTCGTATCTAAACTTTGTCACTGTTTATCAAAGGTTTATGTTACGCTCTGGACTACTGCATTTTTTTTTCTGTTTCTATTTTTTCTCATCATCGTCTTCTCAGTTTCATTTCGTTTATGACGTCAAAAAAAGGGAAGAGAGAAAGGAAAGGAAAATTGGAGAAAAAAGAAAAAAATTTTTTTGGGTAATATTGGAGTTTTTTTTGCACTAAAATATTTCTGCACTTTTTTTCCATGTTGCAGTTGTTGTTGTCATTAATTTTTATAAATATTTCCGTAAATATTTTTTGTCGGAGAGTTAGTTTTTTGTGAACAAAACATAATTGTTGTTGAAGGTAAAAAAACCTGTCTGCTAATAGAGAACAATTTATTATTTGGTTGAAAAAGTAAGAAAAAATGTTGGTCGGTTGTTGTGATTGAGGTGAATGTGTGGTGAAGGCTTAGTTGATTCAAATGGTTCAAATTATTTAGATAGTTTAGATGATGTTCTTGATGTGACTTGTTTTTTTTTTTCTGATGTGACTGATGGTAGAAAAAACTAAGGCGGTTATAAGTGAAACAAAAGTTTTCGTTTTCAATATTTTCAAGTCAGATTTACTTGACCGCCAGCCCAACGATTTTAACGACACCAACAACAACCAGCTTATTGTCATACAGATTCCAAGCTGTCTTGTGGATGCAGTTCTGCTGTTTAGATAACAGGTATTTTAGTGCTGCTTCTATCTGGTGATGGTAGTGGTGAGAGCTGTTTTGAAAACGACGAAAATAGCGCTAATGTTGATGATAGTGATTTCTTTTTTTTTTTTGAACAATTCTCTTTATCACTTACAGCTTTAGTGGTTATTTTAATTGTCACCGTTAACGACAGTAGCAGTAGATTGGTTTTTATAGTCGTCTGGAATCAGCAACCAAAAAAACTGCTGTATTTATGTGGGAGAGGAATAGAAAAAGCTGTTTTCAGTTTTTAGGAGATTGTTCTGAGGTTGGTACTGTTGCTGTTTTTGCCGTAGCTGCTGCTGCAGTTCCTGAGTATGCTTTTAAGATTTTCCCTGGACGGTACTGTGATCAGTGGAATAGTATTGAAGGCTTATATAGTAGTATTGTTTGGTTGGAAGTGATACATTTTTAAATTTTTTCTTTTTTTTTTTTTTGGTCGTGATAGAAATGACGTTTTTAGTGAAAAAGAAAGGCAATCAAAATTAGAAAACAGTTATTTAGTATGAACGTTAATGGAATTTTTTAGTTGCTCCAAAATATTATAATTTTTTTTTGTAATTTTTATTCTGTTTCATCTTTTTTGTCTTCTTTTTTTTTTTTTCAAAACGTTCGTTCTCGAGTTGCCAATTTTTGAATTTTCTTGGGTGACATGTTTAAAATACATTGCTGACTTGGAAATGAAAAGAAAAAGAAGGGACCGAATTATTGGTAGAGATAAGTCAGTTTTTTTTCTCGGTGAAAACATTTTCAGGTATCTGTTTTTTTTTACTTCATTTTTATTTTCTTTCAATTTTTGGGTGGCGGTATATAGTCGAAAAAAATTGGTTTTAGGAATGATGATTTTTCTTTTATTGACCAAATGTTACATCGTCGTTGGTTAACCTGATTGACATGGTTTCGATTCATTAATTATGCTTTTTTTTTTTTTAGAGGAACATCAGCACCAGCAGTTTGTTTTTGCACCTGTTACCGAAAACAAATGTCCCGCTTGATAATGCGCAACATTCTGTAGACGCTAGGTTGGATATATGGATGGTTGAGTGGATGTATAGACGAACGAGTATACGGGTGGATGGATAGACAGATCAATAGATAGATAGATAGATAGATAGATAGATAGATAGATAGATATATAGATAGATAGATAGATAAATGGATAGATAGATAGATAGATGGATGGATGGATGTTTGGGTGGAATTGGTATTTTTTGACTTTATACTTCAAAGGATTTTTGGTTTTATTGCTAACTGTCTTAGAATTAGGTCAAATTAAGCAGTCGACGAAGCAGCGGGGTTGTTGCACAGCAGGATTCAGACGCCTGTGATTTTTTTTTTTGACAAATTTACTGTTCGCATGCCATCAAAATAATTTTTTCTTGCTTCACTGTTTTCGATGTATTTGTTGGTCTCAGCTGATTATTGCAAATGGATCTATGATTTTGCTCATACATACGCCTATATATAACTTTTTCCTCTGTTTTTTTATTAACTTGAACTAAATTGAAATTTTTCATAGTTGTCGAAACGGGTGGGAAAAAGCTGAAATATGCTAATTGTCATCTTTATCAGAATTTCAGGTTTTAAGTAGTTAGCAGCAAAGAAAAAAAAAAGCCTTCGAATAGATGTAAAAAAAATATGTGTACGAAATTTGAATACAATTATTTGTTGAAAGGATAAATGGGCAGATTTTCGGAAAGTCAATACTTGAATACATTTTGTTTCATATTTTTACGTGGTCGCGTAAATTTAAGACTTTTTGTTTTCAACTTTTTTTTGGCTATAATTTTATGGGTGCTTTAGTTTATTGAACATTAGTAATTTTCTTCACAATGATTTCATTGATTCCAATGTTTTAGTTGTTGAAAAATAAAAGGGAAAATTTTGACATTTTTTGCCATTTTTTGACGCTTTACTGACAATAAATGAGTTGAAAGAAGGGGTAAAGAAGCAGGAGGAAAAGGCAGAACCTTTTATTTTTTTAATATCTGTTGTTCCTTCAACATTATTTATACAATACGTCTTTCGGATTGTTAGAGGAAATTTTTCTTCTCTAAAAAAACTTTTTTTTTTGCTGCTCAGTATTTAATTCTTTATCTTCTTTTTCTTTCATCTTCGTCTTTTGGTGTAAAAAACTTCAATGTGAGTCTGAAAAAAAAAATTATTTTTTTAATCACCATTTTTTTCTTCTATTTGTTTACGTTTTTTTCATCAGCATTAGCAAGTTTTTTTTTTTCTTGGTTTGGATGATGAGATGAGGAGGAAGAGTAGGAGGAAGGATATGAAAAAAGAAAGTACCCTCAGTAAACATCTAAATTTTCTTTTTTTTGTGGTTTGGAACACCCGATGTTTTGTTGAACTTTAGGTTGGCATAATTTCTGGTGAATTTTCCAGTTTTCTTAATTTTTTTTCACTATCCAGCCAAATTGGATTTGGAAATACTGTGCTACTGCTGTTGCCGTTGGCTACAGTTAAGAATATTGGATAGTTTGTGCATTCAGACAAAAACGAACATATTTCTTCCGCAATTGTTGATGCTGATTTTGGTGCTGCTACAATCTTTTTCACGTTACTGACGATGGTGACGGGTGGATGAATATTCATAGCCAAGGTCATAGTCATTTGGTATTACCTGTTCATTTAATTTGGCCAACAACGGCAAACTATTTTGTTGCTGTATGGTTGTGGATAATGAGTTTACAATAAT